ATAGGCACTTTCTCTTCAGGGGATAAGTTCCTGTCTGTCAGCTCAGAGGGACAGCTGCCCACATCCTCAGCACAGTGGTAACCCCAGTACACTGAAATAAATGTGGTTCTATTTGGCATGTGATGGTTAAAGCTCATGTTGAAAGGCACGGCCGAGATTCTGCACCTTCTGCCTTTCATAACTGGACATGGCCTTCGCCAACTGGGGGAGGGTTAACTGCCCTCTTCTGATCGGATGTCTTTGGCACAGCCCAGGGACGGGCACGCTGGGTAAGGGATCCAAGACTTCAATGTCTCACACTAGAGCTAATGAAACAAGCTTCGAGATGTCTGGGATCTGGGCCAGCCCCTCTGTCACATGGTTGACTGAGGAGACATCAAAGGTCAGCTGATCTAACTGGTGTGGGGAGGGCCATGGAGTGTCCACCAGGCTCTGTCCCTGTAAGCTGGACGGCACTTTTGTTGGCAAGAATCATTGAGCATCACTCGGTTCACCCACATTTCTGTTAACTTTGTAAATATTAAAAGAAACATGCTTTTGAGTTCCATTGCTTTTAAATTTGTAAATATGGTGAATTGGTCGTTTAGCAAATTGGCCCCTTGGAAAATTTGCTTTTGGTGAGTTGACCTCCTGTCCACCTGACTTACACAGAAGAGAAACATTCTTTCCAAGGAATGAATGTGTTTTTCTCGGTTTCCCCAATATTTTTCCCCAGTAGCTTTACTCTATCAACAACCTTGGTAGGTTTCTTCAAGCTGGACCATACACCGGCATCCCTTTTAGAGAGTATCAAACACACAGAAATGTCATCTGAGCCATTCTGGAACTGCCTGGTTGGTGGCCTCCACCCACCTGTTTGTTGGTCATTTGAGGAGTGTTTCCTCCACCCACCCCATTGTTGATTCATGGCTGAAGGCATAAGTAACTCAAAGCAAACATGAGGAGTTTCAGGAGACCAAGGCGAAATCAGAGACATCATGCAGAGGGCAGGAGGCTGGGAAGGGGGCTGTGTTTTGTGCTGAAATCGGTTAAATGTACAACTTGATATGATAAGAACTTGGGGAGAAGCGTGCTTCTTATTTTAAAAATCACCCTCAATTTCACAATGGACTTCTGATACTGCAGCCAATTAGCTCTGGAGAACCAATTTTGGCATCAAGAATTCAAAGTGTCAATGTTTGTTTCATCAGTGCCGCCTTCCTCCTCTCAACACTGCCCTGTCTGTGCAGAGCCTGAACCCGGGTCAGCTGACCTCACGGCGCTCATCCCAGACACTCTTGTGACCACAAGTCATGAGGACACTGTGGCAGCAGCAATGGGCTCAAACATAGCAATGATTGTGAAGTTGTTTGTGAGAACAAAAAGCTGTTCTCACACAGCCAGGGAAAGCTCTCTCCTTTGTGTCCAACAGGACAGTGACTCAGAGACAAAACAGCAAGAACACAAAGAACCCTTCAGTAAGACCCCTTTCCATACACAACTCTTGAGTTCCTGGATGGATCACCAGCTCAGACTACATGCGCACAGTCAAAACCAACCACAGGTTGGTTATTAGGGCTCCGGCATTCTTGGCTTAAAATTAAGTCCTTGGGTACTGCAAATGGTTTGTGCCCAGTTCGGTTGTGAGCCTAGCTAAAGGTTGGTGGTTCAAGTCCAGCCAGTGGATCCACATAAGAAAAGTCTGGATGGCCTGGTGCCATGAAGACGACAGGCAAGGAGACCCTAGGGACTAGAGAGCAGTTCTACTCTGTCACATGGAGGGTCTCCATGAGTCGGAAATGTCTTGATGGCAACTAACAATGACCTCCTTGATTTGTGTGATCTCGGCTTTCTGTACTGCTACCTCACTCATTCACTCAAGGTACAGAGATGACCAAACCAAGTGAACGTCTGAACCATTCCAGAGTTGACTTCCTATGAGGGGAGAGAGAAGAGACACAGATCACCTACTATGACCTGCTACCATCCAGTGCATCCTGACTCAGAGTGACCCGTTGTTGTTGTTAATTTTGACTCATAGTGACCCAGGATAGGATTTCTGAAGAGTGACCACTGTACTTGAACTACTGACACTGTAGTTAGCAGTCCAGTGAGGACCCTACAGCACCACACCAAGAGTCAAGGGAGAATCAATGGTAGGTGGACTTTGTTGTTGTTGTTAAGTGCCGTTGAGTCGACTCCGACCCATAGTGACCCTGTATAAGGTTTCTGAGGAGCAGCTGGTGAGCTGGAACCACCAACCTTGCAGTTCAAATGGCTTTGCAGTCTGGGGCATTAACCTACCATCAAGTTGGTACCGACTCACAGTGACCCTGTGCACAGTAGAACGAAACACTGCGCCAACTGGTCCTGGGCCAGCCTCACAATCGTTGCCATGTTTGAGCCCATCGATGCTGCCACTGTGCCAATCCATCTCATTGTGGGTCTTCCTCTTTTACTCTGACCCTCCTCTTTACCATGCATGATATACTTCTCCAGCGACTGGTCCCTTCTGATAATATGTCCAAAGTATGAGAGATGAAGTCTGGCCATCCTGGCTTCAAAAGAGCACTCTGGCTACACTTCTTCCAACACAGATTGGTTTGTTCTTTTGGCAGTCATGGTACTTTCAATATTCTCCTCCAACACCATAACTTAAATGCACTAACTCTTCTATGGTCTTCCTTATTCACTGTCTAACTTGCACATACATATGGGGATGTATACATATACTGAAAATACCAAACACCATGACTTAGGTCAGGCTCCCTTTGGTCCTCAAACTGACATATTGGTCCTTGAGCACTTTAAAGAGGTCTTGTGTAGCAGATTTGCCTAATGCTATGCAAGGTCAGCAGTTCAAGCTCACCATCCACTCCTTGGAAACCCTGTACAGGATTACTATGGGTCAGAATCAACTCAAGGGCACTTAACAACAACAACAACACACATCTTTTGATTTCTTGACTGCTGTTTCAAGAATATTGATGGTTGATCTGAGCAAAATGAAGTCTTTGACAACTTTGATCTTTTCTCCAATGATATGGATGTTGTTTATTGGTCCAGTGGTGAGGATTTTTGTTTTCTTTACATTGAGATGCAATCCATACTGAAGGCTGTAGTCTTTGATCTTCATCAGTATTTTATATCATTTTTTGCTTGCAGCAAGCAAGTTGTATCATCTGCATATCTCAGGTTGTTAATGAGTCTTCCCCCAATTCTAATGCCATGCTCTTCATATAATCCAGCTTCTAGGATCATGTGCTCAGCATACAGATTGAATAAGAATGGTGTAAAACGCAACCCTGGTGCACACCTTTCCTAATTTTAAACCATTCGGTGTTCCCTTGTTCTGTTGAAACAAATGCCTCTTGGTCTATGTGAAGATTTCTCATGAGCACAATTAAGTGTTCTGGAATACTCATACTTCACAATGTTGTGCATAGCTTGTCATGATCCACACAATGGAAAGCCTTTGCATAGTCAATAAAGCACAGGTAAACGTCTTTCTGGTATTCTCTGCTTTCAACCAAGATCAGACATCAGCAATGATATCCCTCGTTCCACGTCCTCTTTTGAATCCGACTTGAACCTCTGGAAGTTCTCTGTCAATGTATGGTTGCAGCCGCTTTTGTATTATCTTTGGCAAAATTTTGTTTGTATGTTATATTTATGATATTATCTGATGATTTCTGCATTCTGTTTGATGACCTCTCTTTGTAATGGCTACAAATATGATCTTTTCCAGTCAGTTGGCCAGGTTGCTGTCTTCCAAATTTCTTGGCATAGATGAGTGAGTGCCTCCAGTGCTGCATCCATTTGCTGAAGGTTTCAATTTTTATTCCATCAATTCCTGATGCCTTGTTCTTTGCCAATGCCTTCAATGCACCTGTACTTCTTCCTTGAGTATCATTGGCTCTTGATCATATGCTACCTCTTGAAATTGTTGAACATCGATTATTTATTTTTGGTACAGTGACTCTGTGCATTCCTTCCATCTTCTTTTGATGCTTTCTGCATCATTCAATACTTTTTCCATAGAATCTTTCAATATTTCAGGTCAAGGTTTGAATTTTTTCTTCAGTTCCCTCAGCTTGAGAAATGCTGAGCATGTTCTTCCCTTTTGTTTTTCTAACTCCAGGCCTTTGCACATTTTGTTGTAATATTTGACTTTGTCTTCTCAAGCTACCCTTTGAAATTCTCTGTTCAGCTCTTTTACCTCCTCATTTCTTCCATTTGCTTTAGCATCTCTATGCTAGAGAGCAAGTCTCAGAGTCTCTTCTGACATCCACTTTGGTCTTTTCCTTCTTTCTTGTCTTGTTAATGACTGTTCCCTTTCCTCCTGTAGAATGTTCTTGGTGGGCTTTAGGCTCAGGCAATGGGCAGAGTGCAAAATGGTGCTGGGGCATCCATGGACAGGAGGGGGCATCAGCCAGCATTACTGAGAAGCAGGGTGAAAAGTTGGCCTTCCTCCCACAATCCTTTGAGCCTAAATCCCCTGTGAACTGGTTTTATTCTTTTATTCTAAGCATCACCTATTGTCTGACTGGCCTGCTTTGGACATGCCATCAGGAGGGACCAATTTCTGGAGGAGGACATTGTGTTTGGTGAAGTTGAGGGCCAGTGAAGGCGAGGGAGATCCTGCTGAGATGGATCAGCACTATGGCCACATGATGGACCCGAATCTGCTGGTGGTTGTTACATTGACACAGGACAAGGTAATGTTTGGTTCTGTTGTATGAAATATCATGTAGCAGAGCTGATGATATCAGCAAGCATTACCCCAGGAGTCAGACTGAGCTGAAATAAAGCCAGTCAGGGAACACTCAAATGTCAGGTAGACGGTCAGATCTCCTGGTTTACTTGGGAGGAAACCGAAGGAGAAAAGTGGACGTGTCCCCCCGAGCTTGGCTTCCTGTCAGTGTCCCCACTGGAGAGCACCCAAGGAGGTGGCCCCTTGGGAAGACCTCAGGGATCACGGGCCTCCGGTCACCACACACCACAGGTCACCACACACTTACTCTAGTCTTTCCGCTTCTTTTCTTCGAAGGTCTAAGTCCCGCTGAATAACCTCCCAGACGTGCTTAGCCTCTTCATCAGTCAGTTTGGAAAGATCCAGTTTTTTCCCCATCTTGACTTCTTGTCAGAATCAGACCTAGAAAATCACAGGATGATGAAGGTCAGCCTTTTTGGGTACCAGCAAACTCACAGAGTAGGAGACCCTGAGAGAAACCTATTTCCCAAGAGATTTGTCTGTACCTGGGTGGAGTCATTGATCTTTTAACAAACCAGTGCTTGTTGGGACATTTGTAGAATATGTATAAAAACTACCACTTCCTGGAACATGAGGGAAAGGGTCACTTGGGCCCCCTTACTCCCTTTCCATGGTGAAATGATGCCAATGGTTGGAGCATCAGATGACACACTTCTATCACTTGCCATGCCATCATTTTGCCTCCAATGAGCTGACACAATGTCACAGCAAAGTTGGTCCAGGACTAGACCATGTTTCCTTCTGCTCAACGGGAGGTCGTCCTGAGCTGGAGTCAGCTCATAGGTAGTACACAGCAGTAACGGCGATGACAACAACAACAACAACGTGTTCTGTGTTTGCTTTTGTGCCAAGAAGAGATGTCAACCCCAGAGATGCACTGTGGGAGAGACTTCCGTCCCTCTTCATCTCGCCTTAGAACCCCTGGGGTATGAGGGGACAACATAGAAAAGAGGTCAACTTTAGTACTGCTGACTTCCTGTGGCCCCCAGAGTGGCATTTCAGTGGGTGATGCAGGGCTGTGCAGGGCAGAGGGAGACTTGGAAGTCTGACTCACTAAGACCTAAACATCTGGAAGGTCCTGCTCTCCCCTGGACTTGGGTGTCCACTCAAGCTTGCCATGTGGGAAGTGCTCTGAGTCCCTGAGAGGTCATGGTGTCTGCATGATTCCTAGAACTGTATGTTTCATGGTTGAAACACTCACACACCTTCACGGTGGTACAAAGTGAGGGGAGAACACCAGGTGAGTACTACCTACTCAGGAGCCTCACCTGCTGGGAGGCGGGGGCAGAGGCTCTCAACCCTGGGTGTATATTAACATCACCTGGGAGCCTACGGCGATCCTGTCTGGATTCAAGTGCTCGCTAGAGGAAGAAAATAATTGTGCTCACTTGGAGCCCAGCTCATGGTGACCCCTTGTGCAGAGGAGAACGTCTCCATAGGGTTTTCCTGGCTGTGCCCTTTCAGACACAGATCAAAGACCTGTCTTCTGAGCTGCCTCTGGGTGGATTTAAACTGGCAACATTTCATGAGTAGCTGAGTGCATTAATCATCTGCATCACCCAGGGGTTCCTTAATAGAACAGTACATCACTTGATACTTTGCATGATGGATGTTTCTAGAAAATTTGATGATCAGGAACTGAAGCTTCAGCTGCTATGAACAGCCCTTTAGGAAGTACACTAAATCTGTTCTCAATCAATGCCAAAGGAGGAAAGAAAATCGAGACATCAGACACCAAGGTAAGTCTACTCAATGTGTGGTCCTTGGACCAGCAGCATAGCCTAGGAGCCTGATGGAAATCTCAGGCCCTGTCCCAGACCTAACCTCTTGAATCAGAATCTATTTTAACAAGGTCCCCAGGTGGTTCACATGCACCTTAGGGCTTGAGTTGGTTTGGGTAAGTCACAGACAATCTTGGTTTGAGTGTCCTGTTGGACAGGTGGTATGGGGTAGGTGAGGCATGGTGATGGTTGAGCAGAGAATGAGCTCAGGTCCTCCTGCTGACCACCCAATATTGCCCTCTGCTGAATAATGCTGCTTGTGCAGCCCTGAAGGCTGACCTGATGCACTGTAGCTAGTCAAACACTTTTTTATTTTAAACTGAATTTAGCTTTTGGGGCAAGAAAAAGTTAAAACCAAACTCATTATTGATGCTTCCTTAAATCCCTACGTTTTCTGGCTTATAAAAGTTTTGGAACAAAAAATGTCTTTTCTGATTCATTACTATTCATTTTTATTTTTCACCAATTTTGAAGGAAAAAAACAACACATCAAAAGACAATCATTCATTGGGATTCTATTTCAGACTGGACAAAGTACCATGACCATCATCTGCCATTCATTACTCTCTAGTCTCCTAATGCAGGAGTCAAAATTCTGGGATGCATTTTAAGGAACTCAACTCCTAAGGTGTGAAAGAGAAGAAAAAAACCAAGGAAACAAAGCATATTGTTGTTCAAGTGTTCACAGGCATGGTCAGCTTGACCAGCAAGAGGACTCTGAGAAGACAAGAATCCTCACAACTGGACCAATAAGAAACATTATGGTAAATTGAGAAAAATTGATGTTGTCAAGAATTTCATTGTACTTGGATCCATAATCAATGCCCATGGAAAGAGCAGTCAAGCAATTGAAGGGCGTGTTATGGCATTGAGGAAATCTTTGACAAAAAAGCACTTTAAAATGTTAAAAAGGAAAGATGTCACTTTGAAGACTAAGTTATACCTGGCATATTGTCCAGCTTTCACACACACATGAGGTATTTTCAGTGGCCTCAAATGTATTTGAAGACATGGTGTGGCACTGTAGGATCAGCACTGGACTGCTAACCACAAGGTTTGTTTTTCAAACCTGCCAGCCACTCCTTGGTCACCCTATAAAGGGTCACTATGAGTCAGAATCAACTTGATAGCATTTAACAACAATAGCAAATGTAAATAAAAGTTGGACAATGAATAAAGTAGGCTGCAGAAGAATGGATGCCTTTGAACTTTGGTGTTGGCGAAGACTATAGAATATGGACTGCCAGAAGAACGAACAAAGTTGCCGTGGAAGAAGTCCAGCCAGAATGCTCTTTAGAAGTGAAGTTGGTGAGATTTTGTCTCATGGACATGAGATCAGAAGGAACCAGTCCCTGGAGAAAGACGTCATACTTTGTAGAGTAGAGGGTCGGAGAGAAAGAAGACTCTCAAAGACAAGGACTGGCACAGTGGCTGTAACAATTGGCTAAAGTGTGGCAACAATTGTGAGGAGGATGCAGGACTGGGCAGTGTGTCCTTGTGTTGACCCGGGGGTTGCAATGAGTTGAGCTCACTGGATGAGACCTAATAACTAACAACATTGATTTAATTGTGCAAGAATATTGAATATATCAGGACTATCAGAAGAAAAATATTCATCTTAGAAGCAGTATAATCAGCATGTTCCTTATAAGTGAGTACAGTGAGCCACCAACTGGATTATTGTGGACATGCCATCAGAAAACACCAATTGCTACAAAAGGACATCAAGTTTGGTAAAGCAGAAGGACAGTGAAAATGTAGGAATTTCCATCCACGAAATGGGTTGATCCAAGAGTCACACAATGGACTCAAACATACCAGCCATCGTGAGGATACTTCAGGACTAGGAAGGTTTCCTTCCGTAGCATGGAAAATTATGAGTCAGAGCCTACTCGAGGGCAAGTAGCAATGATCATCATCAAGCCAGCACTGAAGTCTAGACATCTCACTGTTTCCTATGGAGAAGTGCTTGGTCTCCCAGACACCCCACCTTTCAAGTCTATTTTCCTTCTGTTAATGCATTTCTATTATGATACATTTGAGTTATGTTGTTGGAGAAGAACATTGAAAGTATCATGGACTTCCAGAAGCACAAACAAACCAGAATGGTCCTTAGAAGCCAGGATGCTGAGGCTTCATCTCTCATACTTCAGACACATTGTCAGGAGGGACCAGTCTCTATAGAAGGATATCATGCTTCGTAAAGTGAAGGGTCAGCGAAAAAGAGGAAGAGCCACATGAGATGGACTGACACAGTCACAGCAGTAATGGGCCCAAATAGGACAACAATTGAGGTTGGCCCAGGACCACACAGTGTTTCCTTCTATTGTGTCTAGGGTCACTAACTACATGATGGTCCCTAACCTACCTGATGGTCCCTAACCTACATGATGGTCCCTAACCTACATGATGGTCCCTAACCTACAT